CGAGTTTTGAGCAGTGTAGAGTAGCACTTGTTGTTTTGTCATTTCTCCGATCACAAATGCAGACATGGTTTTATGTTTACGCGGCGCGATGCAATGCAATGCGTAAAAAGACAGTATAAGTCATTATAATCCGTAATTATGTCCCCACTGGATGCAACAAATGCCTCGTTTGTAATGGGTTTTATTGGTTTTGGCTGGTCGTGCCGAGAGACGGCATCACAGTATGGTAGGGGTGTAACATTCCCGTCACACGCTTGAGGCATTCGGCCAATCACAACGCACTGGATAGCTGGCCAATCAGAGCACACCTCGCTTTTCAGACCGATGAGCTTTGTAAAAATCGACGCGTTTCAGAAAGGCGGGGCATAGAGGAGAAACAAAAATGTACAGTATGTGGAAAATAATGTGTTTTTTTAACCTTAAACCGCATAAACACATTTCATTACACCAAATACACAAAATAATGTTCTTTTTAGTAACATCATATGACCCCTTTAATATTCTAATCAACTCAGGGGTAGGATCTTTAATACTTTTCTTGCAGAGGGAATCAAAGCAGAAAACAGTGTCAATTTTTGGTTATACCTAAAGGCCAAAACCGAACCGAAAAACAAAAACAAAAACACACAAAAGTGAATTGAATAAACTGCACTGACGTAACAATTTTTATAATTAAAATTTTTATTATTATTATCCACCCTAGTCTAAAAAGTCAGGAAACTCCACTGTAACAAACATAGCTTATGTATCCAAGTACAGCACACAAACACTTTACCTTCACCAAGAAGAAAGACACTCCATATGTTCTGAGGGATCTCGCAAGCTTCACATACTTCACTTTGGCTTCAATCTCTGTCATTTCACCACAAGCCTTATGTTCCTGTAAAATTCATAAAGTGTTTAACTCATCTAACCAATTAATTTATCTCATACATCTTTGCTTACAAATAGTGAAGTTTAATAAACAGACAACCGTGTATAAAATGAAAATGCATTTATTAACAAAGTGCAGGATAAACTGACCCACCTGAAAGATCTTCTTCTCTGCACCTCTCTGTTTGATGTATTCCTTAGGCAGAAATTCCTTCAAGCTGAAAGAAATTAAATGCACAAAGCATGCAGATTAGTGACAATACACTGAAATGCAAACAGGCATTAGAGTTATATGATACACAAAGTATTAAAATGCATCTAAGCACTTTTCATTTGAGTTTGTTAAGCCCATTAACTAAATGGACCATATACTCATTACAACATGTGGATTTTACACATCATTTCTCAGCAATATGAAGCAGAGAGGCAGTAAACACCGTGTACTATAACTGAAAGTATTAGGATGTGGTCTTACTCCAGAAATCCAGACTTGTGTTTATGTTCTATATGAGGCCCGAACTGGATCTGTGCTTGAATTCCACCAAATTCACAAGCCTTGTCAAACGACACGGGATGAGAACCATTCAGAATGTCGTCACGTGCCTGGGGAGACACATGCAGGTAGACACATCCGTTATCAAAGCCTTTGGAAATCACACAGCAGAACTGATCCAGATCAGCAAGTGAGGCCCTGACAGAAGGAGGTAACAGGGACTACACTACTTTGCAGATCAATACGATGTGTATAACAGCATGCAGTGCACCACTCAGAGGCTTTTAGAGCCATATGTCAATAAGAGATTTATAGCATTTCAATCTATATACATTATATTGAACCGGCAAGTAAAAAAACATGGAAACAGATAATTTAGGGCAATATCACTGTAGGAGGGATGTGAAGCCAAGCCAGGGGTGCTGAGTGCTCATAGTAGCTTTCACCAAAATGTAATAAGTGCCAAGAGGTGAGCCAAACCTGTACGTAGAGCAGATTGAGCTGCACAGGATCTCGTGAGTCCACGTTTTGATCGGAGTAGAAAAACTTTCGTCTCAACAGCAGAGTTTCGCTTTCCTCGACTCCCTGTTCTCTAAATGTACGTCCATGATCCAACCAATTTACTGTGAGAGAAATAGAAACTCTTTATATGGTAAAACTGTGTTTACCATCTTCTTTACAAAAGATATAGTACCTTGAAATGTTTGGGGTCAGTCAGTTGTTTTTAGTGATTTTGAAAGAAGACTTTTATGCTCACCAAGGCTGCATTTATTTAATCAAAAAACAGTAAAACAGTAATAATGTGAATTATTTTTACAATTTAAGTTGAAAGGTAAATGTATATTTTAAAATGTTATTTATTGCTGTGATGGCAAAGCTGAATTTTAAGCATTCATTACTCCAGTCTTCAGTGTCACATGATCCTTCAGAAATCACTCTAATGCTGATTTAGTGCTCAAGTAACATTTTATTACTAATGTTTTGTAGAAACCAGGATAAATTTTTTTCATGATCCTAAAGAACAGAAAGTTTAAAAGATCAATAAAAATCTTTTTTTACATTATAAATGTCTTCATTGTCACTCCTTGCTGAATAAAAGTTAATTTCTATCAATAAATAAATAACCTGCTGACACCAAACTTTTGAATGTTAGTGTATGTGCATGCATACAGAAAGAGATATAACAAAATTAACCTACACAATATAATAAAGTACTTAGACACAAAAATAATAAGAAAATAATAAATAATACAGAAAGGGGGACGGGAAGCAAAGATAAATCCTGAAACAATTTTAAACCTCAACTTTATTGACTTATTGTGACCCATTTAGCAGTTCCACAGCTGAAGAACAATTCAGTGCCAATCTGCATGCGGTGGCTGATGTGTTACTTACATTCATCATCTGTGTGCAGTTTGGCTTTGAGCTTCTCCATCTTCCTCTCCTCCCTCAGTAGAGTTCTGTCTTTCTTCAGTGTGCCAGTCCCTTCATCTTTCTTCTCCTCCACCACCTCCTGAATGAGAGAGTACTCTTCATAGTTTGTGATTCCTGGAAAGAGAAGTAATGAGAATTTCTGATTCTTTGATGAATAGAAAGTTCAGAAGAACAGCATTTATTTGGGAAAAAAATGTTTTGTATCATTATAAATGTCTTTACTGATCAGTTTAACACATCCTTACTGAATAAAAAAAGTATTATTTCTTTTGAAGAAAAAAAGCCCCCAAATGTTTGAACGGTAGTGTATATGGAGAAAAATGTATTTGTCTCAAAAGCAATGGCAGAAACCATGGGTGTGTTGCATAAACTGCTTAGACTAGTCTTAAAAATGTAGTCATCCAATTTCTTTTCTTCAAGACTGGTCATAACTTTTTAAAATCAGTTACAAAAAGCTAGATTGGTCTAATGTGAATCCAAAAAGTAAGACCGATTACCCCTTGGCTAATATTCACTAAAAATCTACAGCTGGAGTAGTCAGCCCTGTTCCCGGAGGACTATCTTCCTGCAGAGTTTGGATCTCGCCCTCATTAATGAAACCTGAACTAGCTAATCAAGATCTTGAGGATCACAAGAAACTTCCAGGCACATGTATTAGAGCTAAACTCTGCAGCAAATGGACACTTCAGGAGCAGGATTGGACACCCCTAGTTGAGACAGAAGTTCCTATTCACCAAATATCTGCAGCTGGGGTAGTCAGTCCTGCTTCCGGAGGGCATCTTCCTGCAGAGTTTAGTTCTCACCCTCATTAAACACACCTGGGGCGGGTTGCGTAAACGGCTTAGACTAGTCTTAAAAAGTTAGTCATCTAAGTCTGGTCATAACTTTTTAAAGTCAGTTACAAAAAAGTAGATTGGTCTAATGTGAATCCAAAAAATAAGACTGATTACCCCTTGGCTAACTGCTAGTTGGTCAAACTAGTTTGTAAGACACAGTCTTAACATAGCGTCTATGTTTATGCAACTGTCCCCATGTCTATATTTGGTCAGTCCAATGGAAATGCACCTACAGGTATGCACAAACCATTGGGATTTGAATCCAGGTCACCTTGCACTTCAAATAAAAACTATACCACTAGACTAACAGTTTACAGGGTTTTTTCTTTTTAAACGTGTCAATGGCAACCAAGTGAGTCAGGACTGCCACGGATGCCCCCTCAAAAGAACCTGAGAAAGTAACTGTATATGACAAAGTTATATCAGATATTAAAAGAGCATCACTGACCTATTCTACTGCAGATGGTGACAAGCAGCTCTCCCACAGTTTTGGAATCATCCACCATGATGGTCTTCACTGCTCCATCCAGCATTTTTATCTTCTGAGGTCTCTGTTTTTTCTTATACTCCAGTATGTCCTGAGAGAGAGAGACAGAGGGACTTGACCAGCATTTCCTGACTGCACGAAACGAATAGTGTTAAGTTAAAGGAAAGCTTAGGTTTTAGGCTTTGGTTCTGAATGAAATTCTGCATCATAGCCATTTTGACATTGTCTTGGATTTTAGCATGTCTTCTTTTCAGCCAGCTGCAAAAATAAAATCTAATCTCTGCAGTACAAAGGCAAAAAATGACTATAAATGGTTGAGTATGCAAGGAAGACTTAGTTTTTAAAGTTTAAAGCTTACAAAAATAAATATAGACCACACACCTAAGGCTGAAATTACCTACAAAACAAAGATTAAATGGAATCCGTATGTGAAGCAGTTTGTGCAGTTTTTTATGCAAAATAAGACAGAGATGAACATCTGTGTACGTGTATGAGGGTGAAGAAGAGGTCTTTTGATCAACAAAAGATGAAACACTACCGATGAAATCTTCATTTAACACATCTCAATTTACCCTGCACACACAAATCTTTATTTCTTCCTGGGAACAAGCATTCGGCTTTGTCTTTATATACAACACTCCTCTGCACAGGCACAGAGACTCACAAGTGTAAACAAATATAAACAAAAACCACATGCTGCAGTGACAAATGTCTTTAATCACAGCACTGTAGCTTGTCTCAGTAAGTGTAGACACTAAGGGGAGCCTTTCCTCTCTCTCTCTCTCTCTCTCACATACTCAGACTATAAAAATAACCAAGAGCAGAGTTAAGACCTCTTCTCATCTTTCAGCATAAAAAACATGGGCAAAGACACATCACAAAACAAGACAAGAGTGCAAAGACATTTGACAGGAGCTTGTAAAATAGAGAGAGACCGAAGATCAAAGGCTTTACCCCATTTCTCAGCATGTAATAGTCCAGAGTCCGGCCTCCTTCCAGCCAGATGCCTTTCCTGGGGTCTTCATCTGATAGAAACAGCCCATATTCTGAAGCTGAGAAACAACAGACACTGTATTAGAACTTGAATTTGGCAAAATGATACAGCTTTAGCAACCAGATTTGCAATCACTGTAAACATTACTATACTACAAAGAACACAGAATTCTTCGCGATGGCGCCGACGTTGATGGCTGCCTCCGTGGCGTTTCTTCCCTCAGGCAATCCATCTCATGAACACTTGACAATAACTGTGGAACACACACTATTTATTCACTCATACACTTATTTATCTAACACACATACTCAGTCTACATTCCAATTTGCACATAATATACCTGTACATACAACTGTTTATTGTTATATACCTGTACATACAATTGTCGATTTGTATATTTTTTATTCCTTATTTACTTGTTCTATTTTTTATTTTTTATTTATTTTTATTTTTTATTATCTGTGTTTTTTTGTTCTGTCACTGTCATTCTGTTACACTGTGAAAGCTTCTGTCACGAAAACAAATTCCTCGTATGTGTAAACATACCTGGCAATAAAGCTCATTCTGATTCTGATTCTGATTCTGAAAGTAAGGTGTCCCACCTTGTCCTGTCTGGGCTTCTGGAACCCTCTCTCTGATGACCCGGCATGCATCGTACACAGCCGTTGATGGCTCAAACTGCATCGTCTTCACCACATTACACTGTCTCACACAGATCTTCAGTGACAGCGCCACCATCCTGCCAGCTTATTTATTACGGGCTCTGCACCTGTGGAGAGAAGGAGGGAAATGACAATGAGAGAGATGGAGAACTGAAGACAGCAAGCGGGAGAATGTGTACGCGTTTGAACGATACTGATTTTAGGATTAATCAACACTCTCATAAAATATGTAAATGCAAATATTGTTAACCATTTTCAGTGTTACTTAATGCAGATTCATTAAGATACTGCAGATACTGATTGTCAGCAAAGTGTTCCTTTAATAAATAATACAAAAATAAATAAATAGACATTACCGTTCAAAAGTTTGGCATCAGTAAGATTTGAATGTTTTTGAAAGAAGTCTCTTATGCTCATCTAAGCTGCTTTTAGTTGATTTAAAAATACAGCAAAAACAGTAATATTGTGAAATATTTACAATTTTCTAATAACAGTTTTCTATTTTAATATGGTTTTAAAATGAAATTTATTCATGTGATGTCTTCAGTACCACATGGTCCTTCAGAAATCACTGGTGCTCAAGAAACCTTTCTTTCACATTTCTCATAATATTTGCGAGGAATCTGTGATATATTTTTTTTAATGATTGAAAATTAAAAATTAAAAAGAAGAGCATTTATTTGAAATAGAAATTATTTTTACCAGAAACTACTTATTTATTAGAAGGTAATGCACCCTTGCTAAATAAGTATTAATTTCTTAAAAAAAAAAAAACCTTACTTTGGATGGTAGAGTACAATAAAAATAATTTGGGGAAAAAAAGTAGTGAATGAGAGATACAAATACTTGCATTAATCATAAAATCAGGACAAACATTAACAATCACATTTTTTGCACTTTTTGCTTCAACTTTAGTTTTGGTCCTCTAATACACATATAGTATAATCAGTCTCTTTTATTAATTTTCCTGTTTGTCATTGTGCGTGTTATTAGAAAATATCTGGATTCTGTCCATCTCTTTCTCTCTCTCTCTCTCTCTCTCTCACACACACACACACACACACACACACACACACACACACACACACACACAAAGTCTTTACTGTTAACACCTAAACTCCCAGTCAGCTGCCTTTACTCTTTCAGCACCATCCAAACTGCACATTAATGAAACACTGGCTAGTTTAAACACACACTGAAGGAAAAAGACACAACATAATAGTAGCCAGAGTATACAGTTTCACTTCATGGTTCAATCAGGCCTTGCTGGAACAGAAAGATAATTATAACACCGTTTAACCCCACTTCAAAATCAGCATGACATCCATAAACAATAAAGAACCAGAATTATTACCTTAAAGTCAGAGTTTCTCTTAGCATCTAGCTAATCTTTAGTCTGTATGTGTGTCTGTGGGGATTGATGATGTCCTTGTGCACAGTTGGCACAATAAACACGGGCATGAGTTTGGTAGTGTGATCTGACCCAGTATGTCAGGGACAAGTTGTAGAGCTCTGAGCCATCAAAGACAGACATATATAGATCAGGAAGAGCATTGTTGGAGATGCAATAGTCGTGACAAAATGTCTGATATGCATATATTAAGTAAAGAAAGACTTGCTTTGTTTCAAGACATCACTGAAATAATAACTTGGAGATCAATGAATTAAATGATTCGGTTCACTAAGTGAAGGATTCATCAGACTGCTTCAAACTCACAAATGCTAAAGTCTGTGACTATTTTAGAAAGATTCATTAAAACAAAATGTTCACTAGAATCATTTTCTTATGAATCAATACTACTTTGGTCACACTGTTTGTGTGCAGCCCTAGGAGACAATTAAATAGAAAGATGTGTGTTGCCATTATTTTTCAGTAAACAACCTTTTTATCGAACCACATTAAATTCAGACTGCTACCTCATATTCAAAACTCAAGTAAAATATGATTTTTTTTCACTATGCAGAAAAGCATTGAAGAAAAACATATGCATAACAGAAATTATTCTTAAAACTTCATACCAAAACATCATTTTTATTGCTGTTACCCACCAGTTTGGGGCAGACTATTCGTATGTCCAAAATACGGAAGATGCGGTGGTGAGGTGGAGGAGCAGTTTTCAGAAAAGCAGTTTGGAAACAAATTTTATTAATGTAATTCCATCTGGTGTTGCTGAAATTACACACTTTACCTTTAAATACAACACCTCAATTCGGTAACACCCAATATATACCAGCCCTTGTTGCTGAGTGCCACTGGAACAACACAAAGTTCTTAAAGTTCCTGTCTGATCAGCCACAACTTGTCCAGTAAATTATCACAAACAATTTATTTGCTTTTGCACAGCACAGACTTCTGCATTCAATGTTTCCAGCATATAGATCCACACACGCTATCTCAACCAGCCCACCGGTGACTCTAGAGAGCCTGAAAATCATAACACTCCAGAGAATGTCCTTCCATTTATAGACCTTCAACAGGATCACATGCTACATTCAGGTTAGCAGACCGACTGAAGTCTGATTAATCACTCAAGTTCTTACAGTAATGAAATGCATTCAGCCAGTCAATTAACACAACCTTATATTTCCACAGCCTCATATCAGTGAGACTCAGCAGCTACTGTATATTCTCTCAGAGTCAAATACTCATGTAGACGTGACTCTTGTCTGTCACCAGTGTTACTATAGAAACTGTGGGCTACTGAAATATGATTACACTGCTAAACTCCACCCTCCACAAAGTTTCAAGTTAACCATCTGAACTAAAATATTTAAAAATATTTAATTTAGCTTAGCTAAACCTGTAAATTATGAATGATCTTATTAGTACCTCTTCACTATATTTTAGTATTTATTGTTTTTTTTTAATTAACTTTTATTTTATATTTTCACATTTAGTCATTTTGCTACATTTTTTTTATCAGTTTGCTTCTAAATATTTCTATACAGCATTCATTTTTATTTAAGTTTTAGTAATTTTAGTACGTCAACAAACATATTTGGATTTGTTATTTTAACCTATTCATTTTTTATTTTGCAAGTTTTAGTTTTAGTTAACATTTACACTTCTTCACAACAAAACAAGCTTTATTTTCTTAGCATCAAATGCTTTGACCAGTAAAACTTACATCAAATTACATTAAATTATAAAATGACAGACATATACATATACAAATTTGAAGGAGGTACAGAGGGTTTGGTCTTACCGTAAATTTGAGACGTATGCAACTCTGAAGCACTGCAGATCTTCACAGCTTTGGAGACTGTAAGAAAGAGTAATGATCAGACAAGCAAATAAGGGAGCAAGAAAACTTTCAAAATGCTAATAAAAAAAAAACAATTCAAGTGAAACTACAGTAATGGATATTGAATTGAACCCGAAATGGTTTATCCACATAATAGCTTTAAAGTTATTTTTCCATCACAACTGCCAAAGGAGAAGTCTACACATTATCAATGTAGCAATGAATGACAGATTATTCACCCAAAAATGTAATCCCATTAACCATGTTAGGTGGTAGATATCACCGATGGGCAAGTTTGAGAAAAAAACTGCTAATTTAAGATGTAAATCCTACCAGTGATGTGTGTGTGTGCGTGTGTGTGTGTTAGAGCCTCATGAGGAATGAGTTAAAGCTGCAGTAATTAACCCTGGTCTATCTACTAACGATCTCACGACTGCGGAGCTGACTCAAGGCCAGAGGCCTCTAAACACTCTTAAAAGTCAAACGTTTACACTAAACTCCTAAACTACCAAATTAGCCTATTAAATAAAAGGTGAAATTAAAGGTGAAAGCAAATCAAGTTAGAGCTTACAACAGCATTTTAACACATATACACTACAGCATCTTACAAAAAGAGCAGCTGAAGGAAGAAATATTGAGAATCAGATGATAAGAACCAAGCTCTTCTACTGTAAATCTGAAAACAACAGCATATGAAAGAACGTCATGACTTTTTTTCCCCTGAACACCGTCTACAAGTCATCAACCACTATACACACACTTCACCATGAGACTGGTGTGACTATCCCAGACAGCAGATGAGGGTCATAGAGCTGCTGCTGTATTGAGTTGCGTTGTGTGTGTGGTAAGTGACCTCAGTGAGTGGTAGGAACATCTGCGCAGCAGCTGCTGCCTTTCAACCACTACAGAGGTCAACAAGAGTCCAGCACAGACCATTTACTCTGCACTGATTAATCACTCACAAACGTGATACAAACAACAACAGTGTTACCTTTTCATCACGTTCAAATATGCCTACTGTGCTTCCCTACTATATAGCAGGCAAAAAAAAACAGCACACCAAAGGAGTAGTATGACAGCACACCAGAATGAGATATACAGTGGGTACGGAAAGTATTCAGACCCCCTTAAATTTTTCACTCTTTGTTATATTGCAGCCATTTGCTAAAATCAAGCAAATGGCTGCAATATAACAGAGTGAAAAATTTAAGGGGGTCTGAATACTTTCCGTACCCACTGTATATTTAGATTTTTTTTCACTAATATATGTCTTGACCTGAAGAAGGACAGACGCAGGTAATTGCCACGCTCAGTTCCCCAACACGTGAATGCAGCGTGATCTGATTGCAGGGAAATACATGCAAGTGAATCGCCGTCATTTAGAAATGAGATCGCATTTATGTATGAATCGAGATCATGATTTTTTTTTTTTTCAATTAATCGTGCAGCCCTAGCCGTCACTGGCTTGACTTGCATGTGTAGGCGGTGAAGTTCCCATGACCATGCTGGCAACACATCAGTGAGTCAGACGGCTTCCCAATGACTCACCATTACTGAAAGACAGAATGAACAACCCCCTGTACATGCAGCATGTTCAAGAAGGATGACATGTTCATTTAGAGCAACATTCAGTCCATATTCAGCCTACATTAAAGCAAAGACTATTTAAAGTATATAATGTATTGAACAATACAGAAATTGGTCATTAAAGAATCATGAGAAATCAAATTGTTCTTGATCTTTTGGGATAAGAGTTCAATGTACTCAAAAAACATACTGTAACTTTCAGAAATAAAAACTTCTATATGCGTAAGAACAAACCTCACTGGTTCTCTTTTAACATTTTTGATGTGATCTAGGTATGGGAGTAGAAGCCTAAATGAACACTGACTGTCATATAAAGCCATTATGTCTCTTCAGAAGACTTTGATTAAATGGCTTGATTGAAATGAAAATCTGTGTTGTCACAGACCGTTAGCTGTTAGCAGTTAGGAAGCCTTGCTCTTGAAAGACAAGCATCATTCCTGCTGGATCAGCAAAACTCAATAAGCTTCCAGGCTTGATTAGGGTTAGTTCACCCAAAAATGAAAATTAGCCCATAAATTACTTACCCTCAAGTCATCCTAGGTGTATATGACTTTGTTCTTTCAGACGAATCCAGTCGGAGTTATATTAAAAATTGTCTTTGATCTTTCAAGCTGTTTCATGGCACTCAGCGGGTGTTGCATGCTTCAGTCCAAAAGAAGTTAAATAAAAAGCGCCCATCCATCAAAAAAAAAAAAGTGTCTCACTCGGCTCCGGGGGGTGAACAAAGGACTTCTGTAGAGAATCGATGCGTTTTTGTAAGAAAAATATCCATATTCAAAACATAATAATCACTTTAATGTAGCTTGCGCTCACTGTTGGACACTGGAAGCAGTTCCGGGGGAATGACGTATGAGTTCAGCGCTGCGCAT